GCCTGAAGGAGGATCAGCTAAAATGATAGCCTATCTGGAAATGTTGTTTGAAGAGCAGACATTAAAATGAAAGAGGTGAAGAAAGCAGGAAGGAGAGAGGCAGTCATTTCTGGTTTAATCTGAGCTTCATCCCTCACAGAGAATCTCATTACACTGGACATTTTGAATATTGGGTCAGAAGTGATGATGTGTCGAAAGTACGTACGACGGCTTTTAAACAATGATTGATTAATCATTGTGCAGAACCCATCCTATCTCCTAACTGTAGGCTTCTTCTTCTTCTCTCTCTTTTTTTTTTAGAGGAAACTCCCATTCACATATTAATTCAGTGTGGAAGAGCCAATACGCAGAAGGTAACTCGTTGTAAACTTTTCAAAATGAAAGGGCAAAGCAGGCTGACAGGTTTATAAAGCTTGCCTGGGTCTGACCTCAGAATGGAAATGTCTACTTCCAGGCAAATTCAGCCCATTCTTTTTTTGGGTGTGCACCTGAGCTGTGGGAGCTAGCTATGAAAAATTCATGTGGGATGCTTTCCCGTGCCCCCTATGTCCTTAACATCTGGTGGCTTAGGTCATGTTAGAATGTCAAAAGTAAGTCTGCCCCAGTGAGTCAGCAAGGCTGTGCTGGGAGCCTGGGTGGAGTGACAGGACTCTTTCCTTCCAGACTGGAATACCTACACAGCCCATGCCACACTGTCTTCCTAACCACACACAAGGGGAGAAATGTTGATACCTAATAATGCCATCCACTAAATAGGCATGGCACAGCGTGTGGTCCCATTAGGGGACCATGTTTCAGCTCTAACACTCCATGCATTTTAAAAGTTTATTTTTATCCATACACAGTTATCCTTTGCTTCCCAATGGCTTCAAGTGCAGCCAAAATATTCAGCCACTGTGCTTTGGGAGATGGTTCAGTTGGTAAAATACTTGCCTTCCAAGCATGAACATCTGGGTTCAAATACTCTAGAACCCACATAAAAAGCCTGGCAAGGGTATAGTGTCTGTAAGGTATAGTGTCTAACGCCAGTGCTGGACAGGTAGACCAGCAAGCCCAGCTAATTGCTGATTTCCAGTTCAGCTTAGAAACCTGTCTCTAAAAATGAGATTGAGAACCGAGGAAGACAACCACCTATGGCCTCCATGTGTACACATGAATATCACACACATGCACACACACGTGCACACACATGTGCACACATGCACACACAGGCACACATACCACTGGAAACGTCTCCTGTTAGCAGGTGACAGCACACTATTTAGAAACAGAGACAAGGTTAACCCTGTCCCTCCCTCTATCCCTATATTATAGCAAAGGAGAGGTGGAACCAGTGGTAATTCATTTTTTAGCTAATTGTAGTACGATCCTTCCAGAGTTTAATCCCCAGCACTGGACCATGCACACCCACTACACCGAGGTCCCTTACTTTATTCTCTAGACAAGAAGGGGTGGGGAAACATCTATATTCACTAAATGCTAATTGGCTGAAATACCTTTTGGTTCTTCTGGAACACTGGCTGGCTTTTTGTTTTTTAAATTGTCAACCTTCTCCTGTGGTATCCTCACAAAAGCCTACCTCAGGAAAATACAAAACAGACATCTGAGGCTGTAGACACAGCACACCTTGGCTGTGCTGCTCTAAGGGGCCTGGCAGAGATGAAGACATTCTATAGAGGCAGAAAGGTCCAAGCAGAGCCGGAGCTTGTCTCCAGAAAGAGATTGTACAGTTCTTGTCAGAACACCTACCAGTATGAGTCGGAAGCTCAGACAGCGTGTGTGTGTGTGTGTGTGTGGGGGGGGGACACTACACCTTGACCAGGGCTGCTTAGCTGTGCATTTCCTTGGCCCTTCTATTAAATCAGTCTTCAATCTCACTTCAGGACCCCCCAAAGGTGGACCTGGGGAGATGGGGTTAGCTTTGCCCCTCTTCCCAATGTGGCCACATTGGACAAACATCCCTTTTTCTGCCTTCTGCAATTAATTGATTCTTTTAATTGACATATTGAGGATTGGGGGCTGAACGTGGCTTGGAGCACCTCCCCTGCCCCCAAGTTCAATAAAAATGTGAATGGCCCTTGAGAACGCCTTATTCCATAAAGCATCCAGGGGGTGATGGGCCTATCATGCTTCAAGGCCTCATGGGATGCTACATGCCCATCCCAAGATGTAGCTCCCACTTACACGGTACTGTGTGACACACCGGCAGCCACATTTAAGCACATATCCTTGAGAGGTTTGTAGATTTATCAAGGCTTCTGATCTTTAGAGGTTTTCCAAATAGAACTTCTACTGGGAAAATGCATAATTGGTTCCATTTAACATTTAGCTAAGTCTGATGTGTCAGGGGAAGGTTCACCTAAGAATTAAAATAAGACCAGTCCTTCCCCCTCCTCCCTTCCCACACCATATCTGGTTTTGATAAAAAGGAAGACTACACAAAGGAACAGAATGCAGGGTTTTACCTAACACAACAAAGTCTTCAGAACCAATCTCATTATAGCTCAACTGTAAATGTTTTACCTGATGCCAATGAAAAGATAATATTTTATAAGGGAATGAGATGTGAGTTGGTTAATTATAATATTTATGAGTGGCTTCTTATATACTTTTTGGTTGGAGTAGAGCTGAAATTATTGCAAAAATTTTACATATTCCAATTATCTACTGCCACAGTATTGCATTCAGAAGGGACTTGGAAAATACACTGTATTAGTTCTATTCTCTACCACAGGTCAGAATAGACCATTGGAAGTCAGTGTGCTAACCATTTTGTGAATCTGGAATAGAAGTATTATGTGAACCAGAACTTGTTGAGCAATCATTTCCCCACTTCTTCTAACAGGCTAAGGCTGGTTTCCTTGTTTCTGAGCCAGAATGCCACTCTCTTTGGCCATCATTATCCTATGTATATCACAATCGAGTGCTAAATCAGATTTGCTGAACAGAATGAATGCCTCTAGTTATAAAACTGGGCAATCATTAGCAGTAATCAGGAGCTCCTTGGTAATACAATCTCTGTCTCTTGTTATTGCCACTGAAAACGTCTTGGTCAGTCGTGCTCACTTTCCTCTGGCTCTCAACAACGGCAGTTCTTCCAGCAGCAGAATATCACACATGGGAAGTTGTGACGCTCCATCCAATCAACGTGCATTAAAAGGCCCGACTAATCCTCAGTCTGCCTGGTCTATGATCTGGGGAGGAGAACTCAGTTCCTCAGAATTAAGGAGGCTCTGAGGGGCTGGAGGAATGGCTGTCAGTAAAGTGCTTGTTGGGCAAGCATAGGCCCTTAATTCTATCACCCAGAGCCACATATAAAGGTTGGACACGGAAACAGGATCTCCAAGGCACAGTGCTGGGTCGGTGGTAACAGGCAGATCCCTGAGGATCACCCAAGTCTAGCTGAATCAGTGAGTGAGAGAACCTGCCTTAAAAAGAGGAGGAAGTGGGTAGATAGATGGCTCAGTGGGTAAGAGCGCTTTCTGCACTATCAGGAGAATCTGAAATGCAAATTCTAGTACCCAAGTGAAAAGCTGGGTTCTGGCCAGGCTTCTCTCTCTCTCTCTCTCTCTCTCTCTCTCTCTCTCTCTCTCTCTCTCTCTCTCACACACACACACACACACAACTTAAGAATTAAAAAAGAGCTGATGGTGGATTCACAGCAGAGCCATGCAGCTCACTTGTCAGGATGTAACGGGTATCTGAGGACACACTCCCTCAATCCCTCAGAACCAGCACCCAGTGCTTAAGGCAGACATCTCCCTGAGCATTCTGCCCCCTCTAGCAAAGCAAACACTACAGTTCACCCCATACATTTCAAAAAGCACACACAGAAAACCACTTCCCGCAAGCCTCCAAGTGTATTCAGGAAGATAAAATCCACAGATAACATGGCCATGTGCCGGGATAACACTCTGAAATTCACCTCCCCAGACTGTTCCCCACTGTCATGTTCTCGAGTGTCTCATACCATGAAAGGGCACACTGCCAACATGGGAGGCCATGCCTCTGACATGTATGTTGGAAGCTGGTATAGCTCACAGTTCATACTTGGGGTTATTTTTCCCATTCTTCTGAATGAACTTTTTTGCTGGTAAAATTTCAAAGTCCAAATATTTAAAGTTTTTCTTCGAACTATAACTTCCCTAAATAAACTGGATCTGTCACTGCAACTTGTGTGTATTTAGTTGAGTCGAGTGAGAAATGAGCAACGAATAACGCTCGGACACCGCCTTTCAAAAATTTGAGGTAGTGTCTCTATAAATTGTCCAAGTTGGATTAGTGCTCACTTGGTAATAGGCAACAGGATTTGTAATCCTCCTGTCTCAGTCTCCTGATTGGGGGATGACAAGCCTTGGTCACTAAACCTACCTTTTAAAATTCTGTTAATTTTTAAAAGTTCATGCCATGATATGTGTGTGTGTATGTGCGTGCGTGTGTGCGTGCGTGCGTGCGTGCGTGCGTGTGTATGTGTGTGTGTGTGTGTGTGTGTGTGTAACTTCTGGACATCAGTACCCTCCTTCTACCACATGAGCCTGGGAACTGATTTTAGGAACTTAGGCCATCAGGATTCGAGCTCCTTTACCCACTGAGCCATCTTGCTGGCCCCAAATATCGCTAATTTAAACATAGCTGTATATGTACATTTTCTCTTTCTCAAGATTGTTATTCTTAGGTTAACAGAATATAACCCACATCTTAGTCTCAAATAAAACCCATAGGTACAATCTGAAGAAGTTGTTAAAACAATGATATTGGCAGTGGACAAAAATAACAAACATTTTTAAGCCCGCAAAACAAGTAAGATCTGGGGTTAAAATTATAAAATTCCTATCATCTGCAAACCAGTCAAAGGAATCAATCACTCCGAAGCCCTTTGAACTATCAACAACTGATCAATATTAAACCATAAACCACACCAGAGAAAGAAGATGCATTGGATGGCATCCCACCACACAAGACTCTCTTTCAGGACCATCAGCTGGATTTCCAAAACTCACGTGCTATGCTCAGGTGGATGAAGGGGCTTGTCTTGTTCTCGCCGTTCCTCTCGTTCACAGCCTGCACGTAGTAAGCCCCAGCATCACTCTCTTTTGTAGCAAGGATCACCAACTGATTCTCCAATGTGATGGCTCTGTTTCAGAGACAAGACAGTGTTAAGGCCACTTAAGGGAATGGAACAAAGAATTAACTCATCAGGCCAACTATATAGTAATAAAGACCCAAACCTGGGCTCAGTCACTAAAGTACTTGTCTTGAAAGCACAAAGATCTGAGTACAATCTCCAGAAACCATGTGAAAAAGCTGGGTGTGATGCCATGCTTGTAATCGCAGCATTGAGTAGGCAGAGATGAGAGACTCTTGGGGCTCACTGGCCAGCCAGCTGTGCTGGTTCGAATGAGAATGGCCTTCATAGGCCCCTATGTTTGAATGCTGGGTCCCCAGTTGGTAGAACTGTTTGAGAAGGATGAGGAGGTGTGACCTTGTCAGAGAAGGTGTGTCACTGGGGGTGGGCTTTGAGGTTTCAAAAGCCCATAACATCTTCAGTTAGCCCCCTCCTCCTTTCTCTCTGTCTTGTGGTTGTTGTCTCAACATGTAAGCTCTCAGCTACTGCTCCAGCTCTATGCCTGCCTGCCACCCCTCCATCCCCTGCCATGATGGTCATGTCTAAAACTATAACCAAGCCCCCAGTTAAACTCTTTCTTTAATAAGTTGCCTTTGCCATAGTGTTCTGCCACAGCAATAAAAAAGTAAATAAGATACCAGCCCATCCCTACTCAGTGTCAGGCCAGTGAGAGCTCTTATCTCAAAATACAAGATGGAACAGAGCCTGAGGAATGATAGCTGAAGTTGACCTTCAGCCTTACATTCACAGGAATGTACACACACCTGCACACTTATACCCTCCAGAGTCCCTCAAAAAAATAAATAAAAAGAAGGAATAAATAAACAAAAGCAACACACAGCTAGCTTGTGGCTGTGCCTTCTTGGTGGGGCAGCACTCTACCAACTCAAGAGCTCTCCGTCTGAACTAACTCTTGACTGGAAGGAAGATGACACACACCTCCAGGGACTAACACAGAGGCTCCTGAGAATTCAAATACTGCCTGTTAGAAGTTCCAGGGGAGCACCCTCTTGTTCTAGGTCAGCAGAGGGCTGGACCACCAACTGCTCTGTGCCAAGTGACTCTCGTGCCCTTTGCCACCTCGGAAACCTCACTCACTGGAGCTTCCTATGACTGACGGGCATAGGAGAGATGCCGCGGGCTGCAGGCTGACTGCTTCTGTTTAAGCCGTCCCATCCTTACTAGCCATGGAGTGCACACCCATCCTTTCTGCACCCCCACATCTCGTTGTACAAAGGAGCAATTAAACAGTAGCACCTGTCTAGCTTTTGACACTTTGGCTGACACACGTTATCATCTACAAAATGTATACTTGGAAACTGTGTGACTGAGTTCCAAAAAAAGTTAAAAAAAATATTTGAACTAAGTTTATGATTTTATGATGGGCTACACTCATAACTATGCTGGCCTAAAGAGTGGATGTGCTTGAATTAATGACCAAGTCCTCCCCAGACATCCCAGTTTTAGCAGAAAAGAACCCTGAGGTACATTTGATCCACACACCCTTTCTTGGAGCCCTGCCTGCCTGCTAAGGTCACAGAGCAGCTTGCTGTCAGAGGTGAGACAAGGCCTTCTCCACACAGATGAGTACTTCTAGATCACATCTGCCTTAGTTTCTCTCCCTGTTGCTGTGAGAAAATATTTTGATGAAAGCAGCTTAAGGGAGAAAGGACTTATTCTGGCTCATAATTCGAAGGTCAAGTCCATGATGGCAGAAAAGGCAAGGCAACAGGAAGCAGAAGCAGCTGGTGGTCCTCAGTCAGGAAGCAGAGCAAGAACAGGCTGCTCTTCAGGGTTTTTCCCCACCTGCACAGTCCAGGGAACTTCCCAGCCAGGGAACCCTGCCACCCACAGTAGGCAGGTCTCCCATGTCAGTGCAGTCAGGATAACGCCCCTCACAAGCAGGCCAGAGGCCCTTTTCCTACAGGAGTCCAGATTCTATCAAGACAAACACTAACATCCTAGATCGCAGAAAGACTTCTCACTGTGATATTTATCTAGAAGGGAGGAAGCCAATGAAGTCATAACATCCACAGACCCAAACCACTTCTTACAGGAAGCCCTGGATCCTTCCTCCTGTTAGTCTGTAGACCTCTGGCTAGTTTGAAGAGTCAATGGGGAGGTGGGATTTGTTAAAAGAATTTTTTTAATGCAAATGTGCAGCTGGAGGGACAGCCCAGTGTGTTATGTGTCTCTTGTACAAGCATGAAGACTTGAGATAGGTCTTCAGCACGCATGTAAAAAGCAAGGTGTGGTAGTGCTTGCTTGTAATCCCAGTGCTGGGAAAGATACAAATAGATCCCTGGTGCTCACTGCCCAGCCAGCCCAGCCAACCAGTAAATCCAGGATCTAGTAAGAGACCCTGTCTCAAATAAACAAGGACTCCCAAGGTTTATCTCTGACTTCTATACACACACAGTCACACACACATATATACACACACACTAATATACATACACTAACACATGTGTCTATACACATATGCACACATACGTGCACATGCACAAATACACATACTAACACACATATGCATGTAATGCACACAGGCATCTATACACAAACACACACATGCATGCACACATGCATCTACACACACACTAATAGACACACATGCATGTATACACACATGTGTCTATACACATACACACACAAACACACATATGCACTCATGCATGCACGTACACACACAAAAATACGCACCAACACTCATGTATGCACACGTGTCTACACACACGTGCATGCATGCACACATCTATACACACATGTGCACACATGCACATGCACACACACACATATACACACAGTAAATATGAGTTACATGATCTCTGGCTTACAAGTCAGACCCTGCTACACAGCATGAACCCACACTCTCTTCTTTCCAAGCCCCACAGGGAAGGGGCCTGCGTGTTCATTCTCTGACCTGCAGAGCCCTCCCAGAGCCAGGAAAGGCAGTCGTCTCTCCCGAGGACTCAAAGGTAATAATCATCTCTCCCTCCTTTTACCTTGTGGAGAGATTTTTTTCCAGAAACCTCCTGGTTTTTCTACATTGTATAAAATTATCTTAAGGAGTGATTGCTCAGCAGGCTCCCACAGGGCGTATTACATTTTAGGTCTCTATGGCTAACTTATTTCATGTCTCATTTAAGAAAATTTCCCTATTAGGAAGTTTTCAATTTTTCGTCCCATAAAAATATTTCAAAAAGAGTTTTACTATAATTATTTATGACTGCTTTATAGGTTCTTTTATAGAAGCATAGAAATTGTTCCATTTTATTTTAGTATATGTTACACTGGCACCTAAAATTAAATATGAATATTTACTACACATGAAGTTATACATTTAATAGCATAATTTAAAAATTGAATATATAACTTTTGCTTTCACATCTGATTTTTAGCATACTAGTCTTAAGTATGCCTATTATTTCTCAGAATTAGTCATTTTTAAATGCTCATTAATTCTCTATATTATTTACCACAGTGTTTCAAGGCTACTGAAAATTAAAAAGTATATAAAAAACAAAAACAGTAAGTTTTATATCCATTAAGGTTTTTTAAAGCTCTTTTCTTTCACTTTTTGATTTCTGTACATGTTCAAGACTAACATTAAAAAATAAAACTTATGTATTGTTTAAAAAGACAGCCACAAAAATGGCATTTGAATAGAAGAAGCAATTCCACAGAAGGCTATTCTTTCTCCCTCTATGAAACATTTCCATGTAGAGAATTTATACGAAAGAAACTGACTTGTGAAATAAAAGTAAAATATCTACAAACATCTATCTCGATGCTACGTCCTGATGTCTGCCGTAATAGGTGTGCATTTGTGTACACTCACCCGTGTGTGTGTGTGTGTGTGTGTGTGTGTGTGTGTGTGTGTGTTTTGCTGTAAGTACATGTGTGTGTAGGTATGTACATGAGTGTAGAGGGTGTATGCACACACATCTGTACACGTGCATGTGGAGGTCAGAGGTTGATGATGTTGGGTAGAGACAGGATCTCTCACTGAACCTGAGACTCACCGGTTCAGCTAGACCAGCTGACCATTAACCCCCCAGGACCTGCCTGCTTGTGCCCACGGTACTGCAATTACAGTCGTGCACCATCTTGCTTAGCTTTTGACATGGGTTCTGGGGACTGAACTCCGGTCCTTGTGCTTGAACACAAGCACTTAACCAAGTGCACCATCAGCCTGGCTCCTCGCACTGTGAGACTTTAATCAGTTTGTAGAGACGGTGGGCCACAGTGAGCAGTTGCTGGTCTGGTCTGTGGCTTGGCTTCCAGAGGTGCCTGTGTTCTCCAGTGCCCAGGCTGATGGTCCTGGGTACCCATAGTGGCACTTTTTATGGCTATTGGGAAACATAGGGATAGCATGAAGCTGATGATTTGGGTTCTGAGGTTGGTGTGTATGCATACATGCAGGTACATGTGTAATTGTAGATGCACATGGAAGTGTATACATGCTCATGCATGTAGAGGCAAGATGACACCTGAGTGTTGTTCCTTTGGCACCATTCACCTTGGTTTAGTGAGATGGGTTCTCTTATTGATCTGTAACTAACTGATCAGGCTAAGCTGGCTAGCCAGTGAGTCCCAGGGATCCTCCTGTCTCTACTTCACCAGTGCTGGGATCACAAGTGTGCACCATGGTAAGTTCTGAACTCAGTCCCTCATGTTTTCATGACAAGCTCTTTACAGACTGGGCCATCTCCCCGGCCCACAGAACCCTTCATCCCGTAACCTACTCCATCCATTCTAGTTAGCTCTGTCAGCCTGACACAGCCCAGGGTCATCTAAAAAAGGAGTCATGATCGATGCACTGTCCAATCAGCTGGTCTATGGGAAATGGTTTCGGCTGTGAACTTATACAGAATGGTCCAGCCTACCATAGGAGGCAAGATTCCCCAGGCAGGTGGTCCTTGATTGTATGAGAGAGCTAAAGAAGCATGATCCGGAGAGCCAGCCAGAAGTAGTGTTCCTCCATGGTTTCTGCTTCAAGTTCCCATTTC